CCGAGAAGGGGGGGGGGGGGAGAAGGAAAAAAAAACACAGGTCAGGCACAGGGCAATGCATACGGACTGTAATGGCAATCATGTGACTGAGGGATGCTGCAAAGGTCATAAATGGGCTGTAAAGTTATTTTTTCAGCAGCTTTGTAACTTCAAACAGTCACTGAACAAATGGTCAGTAAATGAGGACTACCTGTAAAACATAAAAATCAGTGCAGCCACACACCTCAAGAATAGCTTTTGAACAGCAGTTCAAACAGTTTAGGAATTAAAAACCAGAAGGATTAATGTACTAGGGGATTATAATATACTATAAACATTTCTTCTGTGTTCAAAATATTATTTTTGAACTTGGTTATCCTCAGCCTAAGCTATTGCTTGTTGAAATACATCAGAATGAAGAGTAACAACCATTTGCCTAATCTGGACAACACAGACTGCCTTTAATTAAAACAGCCTATTGCATTCCAAGTCAGATTCCATAAAAGCAAAATAAAAATCCCCAAGTGTGCAGGTATGCCTGGGATACAGGGGAACCATATTTATCACTGTATCTAAGCATTCTCAGTGGAAGCCAGGGAAGATGGCGAATTGCAAAAACACACATCAAAATTATTTGCTGACGATTACTCAAACTCAAAAACGCTTTAATACTGTTAATGGAACGTATCCAACTTTATGTCACATTACCAGATTAATAATGAAAGAACCTGAATGCTGAGATGGAACTCGGCAGAGGAAGAAAGCTGTAGTGTATCAAGTAACATTGTTACAGAAAAAAAATCATTTTTAAGGAATAAATTTGACTAAAAGAAAAGATGTATTAAAAATAATAACCTATCGAGTTGGAAAAGTAAAATAGATATTTTTAGATGGAAAATGTTGCCCACCCTGGCTTAGCAGTGCGAATGAACCCAGCCTTGTAGTATTTAGAGTCACTCTGGATTCAACCTTGTGAAACAAAATACATTCCTCATTTCTTTTCTGTTAGTAAAATTACAAGGCAATTAACATGATTTTACTTTAGCAGTTGGTTTTGTTTTCGTAAATCATACAGATTTATACCATTTGAAAAACAACACAGTCTTTTTCCCTTTCACAAGTCCTGAACACAACTCTCTCATTGGGAGCAACAAAGTCCACAGTTCCAAGTATATCTGCGGGACAAAAAGGGAACAAGTCTGTATTAAGGACTTAATTAACACATTAATTTTAATTAATTAATTATTAACACATCCATACTGCCATTCAAGATTTCACTTTTTAGATCATAAGAGACTACTGATTACAGCCAAAGATTAAAATATGCTACCAATACTGAAAGTTCAATTTATTTTATTTTATTTTATTTTAATTTATTTATTAGATTTCTCTCCTGCCCATCTCCCCTACAATAGGGGACGCTGGGCGGGTTACAAAGACATTAAAACTATAAATATATATAAAATACATACCATATATACAATTAAAACAATACTAAAAACAAAAAAATCCAAGAAGATGGAAAATCAGGGCGAGGACAGCCAGCCACTAAGATC